GAATTGGCATCTCATCCTACTAAAGGTGACCAGAATTCTTCCATGCCTAGTGGGGGAATCATGTAACCCAATATCCTATGTTGGTGAGCACAAGGGCAATTGGATGAAATTGCACTTCTGGTAAGCTGGTCATTCTAAAGGATGAACACCATATTCCTTATATTCATATGAATATGGCTTATAATTCATTTCCTTTCAAGTGTGGCTTCATTGTTATCTTTCAATCTGGTATGTTCCTTGAAATAATCTTTTTATTAAAGGTGTGTCTAAATTTGTGCAATAATTTATGTTTATATTGCCAAATTCATTGATTAATAATGTGTTATAAACTTGATCAATGAACAAAATCCTTTTATCAAAGGATCTGTTAGGGATTGATCGAAAGGTTATGGTAAAACCTATATGGGTTAATGCATTATAGGTAGCATATGAAAATTTATTGGTCTAGCTTTCATATATGTTGAAAGAAATATGGTACCTTAGAATTGATCTCCATCGATCACATTATTGATGCTCATTTTGAATATAATTATGTTTATTACTTGAAAGGTGAAAGCTCTAGTAGGTCAGTTTCTGCCTGATTAGATCATATTCTGCGATGAACGAGAAGATCACAAAAGAAGTTTATTATCTTTCGGGACGCGTGCCATTAGTTGATTGAAACTAGATCATCTTTCCACATTACAATTAGTCAAAATCATACAAAATCTATGACTAGTGGGGGGATCAGATGACAATATAAGAGGAGAACTCTTCAACTACTAAAGTGGCATGCATAAGCATAATTTCTGGTAAGTGATACATCTGAAAGAGGTCTTCAGATTTGCAAATAATGGCCTCGAGGTGAGTTCTAAATTCATCAATTTTTCATCCAAAATTGGTATGATTGTCAAAATGAGCCACTCTATTAACGGTATGCTTTCCAATTATAAAACTGATTTTTGGTTACTATAAATTTCTTAATTTATGGCATGTCATATACTTGATTACGTGAGTTTAAATTCATTAATCAAAGGATAACCATTGGTAAGGTTCATGTGGATCAAAGCATTACGTGTAGTATGTAAACTTTTGTTAATGTGTTGAAAAGACACTAATACTAGAAACTTGATCCATATTGACATGTTTGAAATAAGCTAATTATATTAATGAAATAAAGTGATATGTTATCATTTTATTGATTATACTAATTTTTATCCTTGAAAGCTCATTTTTGAAAGCTCCTAAATAGAGGAATGAATGTTTGAGAAAGAAATGATTGCAGCTGAATTTCAGATTGATAAAAAGAGATTCCAAGGAAATTCTTGCAATTATTATTTGCCTATTTTTATCCTTGAAAGCTCTTAAATAGAGGAATGAATGTTTGAGAAAGCAATGATTACAGCTGAATTTCAGATGGATAAAAAGAGATTCCAAGGAAATTCTGGCAATTATTATTTGCCTATTAAGTTCTTAATTTGAACTTTTGACATGATGGATCTTAGCGAGGCCGGTATTTTATCAATTAATCTTGAAAGGTTTAAAATCTTATCAGATGTTACAATTTTTGTTCTTATTAATCCCAAATCGAAGCCAGTTTGCAATCAAGGCAATGCAGAGAATCAACTTGAATTCTCAAGTTATTGGTGGTCATTATGATGCAATGAACTACACCAGGGTAAACACAACTTGTTATCAAGTACATTAATAATCTGGGAAAAGATCATTGAATTTCTCTTGTGAGAATATAGAGGTACTTGCAAAGTACTATGGATCATGGGTCACATTATTGCAAATATTCAGCTATTCTTTGCTATGGATGCTCAATGTTCGTAGCAACTTGGATCTTCACCCTGGTGGTGTTGTGATTTCTTGGAAATTAAAAGGGTGGACTTATATAACTCATTCCTCGAAGGAATCTAAGTTTTATTGCACTTTCTCTGCTGGAGAAGAAGTTGATTGGGCAAGGATCTTACTGGAGGGTATTCTAATACGAAGTAAGCCTATACTGCCTTTGAAATATTTTTCGTGACAATAAGGTTGCGATGCTTCAAGCTCATAACGAGTGTTACAATGAAAAGTCCATACATGTGCAGTTGAAGCACAATCATCTGGAAGAGATCCTAGCTAATGGATTATCATAGTTTGCTGCATAAAGGCGAAATCTAATTTGGCATATCCACTATCAAAAGACATATGAAGGGACCTAATTTCCAAGGCCATATCTCATTTGGCATATCCACTGTCGAAAGACATGTGAAGGGACCTTGTGTCCAAGACATCGAAAGGGATGGAACTAAAGCCTGTAATTGAATAAGTTGTATTGTTATGGGAACCCAACCCAGTGATATTTCTCCTGGGTTCAATGGGAAAAACAAGTAACTGGACAACTTGTGTGAGCACATCAATGTTCCTTTCCCTATGATGTGATATGGGTTCTCAATCCTGTAACTAAGGAGGTTGAGATTTTAGATCTCTTAATGAATCTATAGATCAATTTTCGATTGGAGTGTAAAAGATCACTCTTGATAGATTCACCATAAAATTAATGAGAAGGCTGAGACATGAGTCTCTTAATGAATTCTATAGATCGAATTTCCGATTGGGGTGTACACAATCACTCTTGATAGATTCACCGATTTATCTTGTAATGAGGAGGATGAGATTAAATTCTCTTAATGAGTCTATAATCGGTATTCGGTTGGAGTGTGCAAGGTCACTCTTGATGGACACACTGATCTGAGTGTGGAAGTAGGGCCGCTTCTATAGGATCTAGACAGGCTCGATCCTTAACGACACTCAGAAGTATGGATTCCGGACACATGGCCGAAACGTGTCAAGCTTTAGTACTTTATCTCCGAACAGAAGTGTGTGTGTAGTATTTCTTATCCATCAACAGGGTTCTTGGTTCAAGACATCGTTCACCAAGTTCCTAGATGAAATTAAGGGTACTTACACTAGGTAAGGGTTCAAGTCCAAAAGACACCATTATTGATCCACATGACTGTACCGATCAACAAAAGAATTTGAAACAAGTGGGGGATTGTTGGAGTAATGTTTCAAATTAATATAGTAACTCTATATTTATGAAGACAAAGTATTAATATTACAGATATTACAAAGTTTGTATTTAATCCACTATATTAATATGTTATTTATGAGTTAAGTTTAAAGCTACATTAAATACTTTACTAATATCTTCTAAATATATTAGTATAAATAGGAGGCTTACATAGCCTACTAAAGACACACTCTCAATACAAGTAAGAGAGAAAAAGATAGTTGAAAAAGTGTTTTCAAATTATTGAGTTTGAGTGTGTGAGTTTCTATTTTCTGTTGATCGGACGGAGAAAAATACACAGGTTCATAAAGAAGAAGTGCAACATTCATGAACATACAGTTTTGATATCCGGGCTTAGTTGAATCCCGGAGATAGTGTTGCCATTTGTCTTCCGTTGCATGTGGGAGAGGCTTCAACTATCTTCAAGAAGCGATTCGCGCCTCTAAGCCTCGATACTCACCATTTTTAATGTATTGGTTCCAACAGAGTAAAAGTTCAGTGTACTTTTTTTCAAACATAGTGGATCGTTTTGCTTTGGAGGACATAGTCCATGAGGCTTTTCCTATAACGATTGGTTGATTTCCACCAAATGGGTTTCTTCGCTAAAAATCTCAGTGCCATCTCTCAAACTTTATTTACTTTACTTGCACTTTATTTTTGCTTTGTGGGTTTGATTTTAGTTTTATTTTGATAAAATTAAAATAAGTAAAAATTAGATACATGGGCAACTAAAATCTATTCACCACCCTTCTAGGTTATTTTTATTATAAACTTTCCACAACCTATTTCACTGCACAACTCACAATTAATTCATAGGGAGAATGTTATTCATATGAACAGTGTTTGAGATTATTTAGGGGATGAGTGTTTGGCTGTAAGAGAGTTACTGATAAAGGGTTCCAAACATTGTAGAAAGAGATATGTTAGGGTTTTCAGTGACGTTGTAGCAAGAAAGATGATGGGGTTTAAAAGGGTTACAGAGCTAGCTATGTATGCCTAAAATATTCCTTAGTTGCCTTTCAAACTCTCACTACCGAAAGAAGCTTGCCTCTACTTTTCATTATCTGCTTGGCATGATTATCACAAACCCTCTTATTGTTGAAGAAGAAAAGAAAATGCGCGTCCTTGGGTTGGATGTGTTATTGGGTTGGTTGTGTGATGGAGGGGATAATTGACATACCTTATCACAATCGGTGTGTAGTTAACTTATCATTGGTTTGTCAGATTTCCCTTTCCTCCTCATTCAGTAAAGCTTTAATTACCTTAAACTGTGTTGTTTTATTAAAGTTATAACAGTCTTTTGGTTTTCCGGTACCGAAACGTTTGTTTATGGACTAAATTGCGACGTACTTTAAGAGGACAGATATATAGTTCAAGAGGGGTTTTTGTAGTTCGTGGAGGTGTCTTGCAACAACACCCCAGTATATATATTTTGGAATTTTAAGCAAATTGTACATCTATATCGGTGTAAATATGTAAAGTGTTGTTGTGTGCTTAGAACAAAAGACAACCCAATTGGGTAACAAACAAGAGGGTACACAATAGTCACTCAAAGCCCAATATATCAAGCCCATTGGCAATGAATATTTGACCATTGGAGATTAATTAATTCAATCTTTCCAGTGATCAGTTTTGCTACTGCTATTCTGAGTTGCAAACATGTAATACCTTTCTCCAGCTCCAAGAATATTTTTCAGTTACTATTTTTGAAAAATAATGCATGAATCCACTGTGACCAGCTTTGGCTATTATCATCAGAGACGAGTATATCAGAATTTCAAACAACTTTTGACGAAGCATTTGTAGTACTACTAATCACATTCGGTCCATTACATTACATCAAACGAATCTCAAACCCTTCATAAAGCGTAGAAATGCGTACACTAATCTATAAGGTAAACACACCAACCCAAATTATTATTATTGTTGCTGTGTTTTTTTTTTTCTTTTTTTCAAGTCAATTCATCTTCAGAGAAGTAAACCAACCATAATGCAAACAGCAAATCCATGCTCATACGGGTATGGGATCGATGAACGTTGAGACAATGTGATCTTTCCACTCTTTTTCTGGATGAGTATATCCATCACCATTCTTGAAAAGGACATCCATTAGTCTGGTTAGGTTGACAATTCTCCTTAGAAGATTCATCGAGATGGAGTTTGGCTTCAGGCATTCCTCATTGATATCTTTCCATGCATTTTCAATCCTTCTATTGAACTCGCTAGTTACCTCTTCTATGGACATGCCTGCGTGCTCCTTCATGTAGCATATAATTCCTGTAGCGAAGTGTCCCCTCTCCTGTTCTTCCTTCAAATGTTCAAGATTTACAAATATTAAGATTCGATTGTGGCTAGCATTTCGTTTTCATTTTATATATATATATATTTTCATTTCCATAGAAAGTATTGTAGGTAATTACATAACATACCTCATAATCTACTATGTCGTCCATGAGCCTTACAATTGTACATGAAGCAACAAGAATTTTAGGTTTATTTTTAATCCAATCAAAAGCCTCAGTTGTACCAATTTCTCCCATGCCCACAAAGGATGATGTTGTCAGCAGGGAATAACCAGCGGTGTTAAGTGCGTTGCCCATATACTCATCGAATGATGGCACATATCCTTCATTGAACCACTTGGCCTCTACGTAGTAACTCCTGGCAAGTTCTTGTAACTGGTAATGAGTTAAAACAAAATAAATCCTTGTTACTATTAGGATATATAAGGTGGAAATAATAGTTCTTTTTAGACCATGAAAAGGGCATACTACATTTTTTGAACCACAAACGCTATAGGATCTTCCCTGCTTTGTCATTTCCTTTTCGAATTCTTCGTAGAGATTTAGGAGAGCTCTATAGTATATCTTCATATAATCTGGGAGCAGATTGACGGCGCTCATGTCCCACCTAAAAATTAAACGGCTCAATAATTTCCTTTTTCATTTAATATAGTAGACCATGTGAAAATGAACAAGAAATTTATTTGTTACTCTTATAGCATGCACAAGAAAAGATAATAGAACTTATACAATTCATAAGCTAGAGTTTGAAGGCCTCGCCTGGTCTGGTCCACAAATTCTATAAACCTATCTTCTTTACTAAAACAAGAACTTAGAGTTGGCATTATTATACCTTTGCACTGCATCTGTAAAAGGTTCGAGTTCTTCAATTGTACCATATGCATCATATGTATCATCTAGAATTGATGCCATAACAATAATTTTGGCGAGAATGATTCGTCCAAGGGAGTAACAAGGTTCAAAATATGCTGTCATGGCCCAGAAATAGCACTCAACCACTCTGTTCCTTGAGTAAGGAAGTCTAGATTCAAAGTCTAGTTCTTTCCACCACCTATGTACAATGGAAAACATGAATCAGATTTACACAAAATGCATCCTTTCTCTCCCTCTCCACACACACACACACAAACGAACACCCTGGTATATTACCTAGAGACATGGCATAGTTCTTGCTTGTGCATCAATTGTACTAGATTGAAGTCAAGCTTTGCAAGTTTCAATAACAGATCATTCTTAGAAGTATCTTCTTCATAGACAGAGATGTAATGCCTTGCCTCTGATCTTGGGAGGCCTTTGTGGAGGGGTTGCTTTAGGGCATGCATCACTTGCTTTGCAAGAAAAGGGTTTAATTTGGTTACCATGGACTCAAGGTGAGCAGTGGTGAAAGCAAGAGCCTCATCTAGAATATCTTCTCCTTGTATCCTCAAATGTGCAGCTTCATACAAGCTTAGCATCCTCATTACATCCCTAGTAAGGTTCTCATTGAATTTACCATTGTTGTCTTTAAATTTGTTGAAGACATCTGTTTCACAGCACATAATACCATATCAGCCATTTCTAAGTACAATTTGTGAATTGCGTACTTTTATATAAACATTAATATATATTTATGTAAGTGATCTATGAGGGGCTTAATTACCACAAGATATGTTATGACCATGTTGTCTGAATACTCGAAAATGAACAGCAGCTGTGAACAAATCATTGCAGTCTTCATTATTTTCAAGGCGAGCATGAGAATGAAAGATTTGTTCAAGCTGCTCTTAGATCTCTTTCTCAAAGTGATAGAAAATACCAAGGCACTCAAGTGTGTTGATCAAAGTCATTTTCTTGGCCGTTTTACTTTTTGCATTTACCAAACTTCGCACTTCTTCTTTCAACACTTCAATCTCTTTAGAATACAATTCATATGCCTGCATCATACAAAAATAACATAACAACTTAATTATCTTATGCATATCTGGAGGCATTGGTTATAAGTTCTCTTGAGAACTGTTGCTTGTCCAAGTGATTTTATTCAATAGTAAGAAGCTTGAGAAATTATCTAAGTATGCATGAAAACTGTTATCAAGATAGCATAAAATGAATGAAAATGATAAATCATGCATGATGTTAAATTTAGGATGCGAAAATATAAGATGTAAAATAGGAAAATGAAATAGAGAAAGATTAAGAACACAACATATACATGGTTCGGCGCTAAAACCTACATCCATGGATCAAGAGCCACTGAGACTACATATCTCTTATTTCTTGTATTTCTTGATATGTTTACATTGTATTGATACACAATATATAAGAAATAAAGTTGCAACAAAAGGAATCAATTAAGGAGGAAAGAAGGCAAACAAAAGGAATAAATCAAGCTAAGAGGAAAGAAAGGAAAACGAATATAATATATATGTATATATAATATATATTTCAATATTCTCCCGCAAACTCAAAATGGGTTTCTTGAAATCAATTTGAGTTTGGAGATGAGATCTTGAAAACTGTGGTGGAGCGAAAAGCATCCAAAAGGCCGGAACAATGCCAGGAAATGGGTCGAAACAATGCCGGAAAATGGGCCGAAGCAACACTGGGGGACATTCGGATGATCCATCCGAGAAATGAAAAAGATCCGGAACAAAGCCGATAAAAGGCCGTAACTAAACCGGTAAACTACCGAAACTAAGCCGGTAATCAACAATAGGCCGAAAAACTCTGGTGGAACGAGAGACATTGAGCCATGTGAACATCTTACGTATTGGGTCTTCTAACGTTGGTATGCGACGCACATGCTTAGACATACATGCATATATGAAATATAATACTTTATAAAGTATGCTTAGCCGATATATTTGGCCCATCACCCACTTTTTCAGCTACCGAAATTTTTTTTTTTTTTCCCTTACCATCAGACAACCATCACTCCTCTTTTCCAATTTTTTATTTTTTATTATTATTTTTTTTAACAAATCACAGACTCAAAAAGAAACTCCACAAAAAACAAACCTAGTAAAATAAGGCAAACACTGCCCCAAAAATTTTCAAGTGGTGGAAACCAACCAAGGAAGGAGAAAATAATTGTTGTGGTGGAAGAATGAGGTCGCCAACATGAGAGGTGTCGCCGACGGCGACTGTAAGTAAAGCAAAGGAAGCCTCTGTAACTAAAGGCGAATTTGGAGATGATGCCGGATATTCGCCAAACTAAGCATAGTAATAATGGCAGCGAATTAATTAAGCACATAAAAACGTGGAGAGTGGCAGCGAAGGACTCGGTGGGAGATACACACCTCACAACGGCTAGAGCACAAATAGCCTCTCTCTGACCAGGAACTAAAATGATGGTGGGTTGGTAACCACTTCGGAGGGTTGACTACTACCATCGTTTGAGGAGGAGCACGTGAATGCATGTAGCGTGAGTGAGATCTACTCACAGGAGCGTGCGGTGTGTGTAGAGCTAGTCAAATCAGTGGGCAATGATGCATAAGTCAGATCTATTTCGCAGGAGCATTGGCGCATGACAGTGCGGGACGTCACTTGTAAATGCCTAGTTAATCGATAAAGGAAAACAAAGAGAGATCTGAACCAGAAATCATTCACTGCTCTCTGTAAATTAGTAAAGGAAAGGGGGGAAAAAAAATTGGCAGAAGAAGACAAGTAAACTTTGGTGCAAACGATCTAGGATCGTTACTTTGATACCATGTTAAATTTAGGATGCAAAAATATAAGATGTAAAGTAGGAAGATGAAATAGAGAAAGATTAAGAACACAACATATATATGGTTCGGCACTAAGGCCTATATCAATGTATCAAGAGCCACTGAGGTTACATTTCTCTTTTTGCTTGTATTTTTTAATGTGTTTACATTGTATTGATACACAATATATACAAAATAAAGTTGAAACAAAAGGAATAAATCAAGGAGGAAAGAAGAGAATCAAAAGAAATAAATTAAAGAGTAAATCAAGAAAGAAAGAACGGAAAACGAATATAATATATATATATATATATATATATATATATATATATATTTCATAATTGGTGTTGTATAAAGAAAGAAGAAATATTTACAGATGCGCAGAAGGCATACCTCAGAAATTACAAACATAATAAACAAGCTTATTACAGATGTACAGTGATAGAAGATTTGCTGGGGTAAGGCTCGGCCTCGATGGTCTACTGCAGCAGTTTTTGTGATGCAAAACAAGCTTCCTAGTATGGTTAATTTACAGTCAAGGAAGGTTCATTTAGCGCCTAGATGTTCCTTATGTCTTTGTGCTGTGGATACAAGGGAGCATTTGTTTGTCTCCTGTTCGTTCACCAAAGATTTCTAGGGATGGATTGGAGGAGTTTTGGGATGGGAGATCGACCAGTTTTGGGGTTTAAGCTCAGTTGAAGAGGTTTGGAAGTGGTGTCATCATAGATACTTGCATTAGAAATCTCTTTAAGAGTCTATTTCCTGCTGCTCTTTGGGCTGTTTGGAAGAAGAGGAATGTTAGGCTGCGTGATGGGGTATCTAGTTCTCCAGAAGTGGTGGCTAGAACTATACTTTTTGAGGTGCTGCAAGCTCAAGATGCTAGTTTAACAGCCAATTTGGGTTAAGGTTGCTGCAATAATTGTGCTGCCGTTGCTGGTTTTTCTGTGACTAGAGAATGCTTTTGCTTTGTTTTCCATTATCCTTTGTAGCGTTCATTTTTAGTATAATATATATATATATATATATATATATATATATTTCAATACATGACATGTTTCATTGGCTTTGAAGTGATATAAATTGCTGTCTGAAGACAAGATATGCTGTGCATATAATAGGGAACACGTAAAGTGATCAGTGAAATCTTAAAAAAAAAAAAAAAAAAAGAAAAAAAACCAGTAACTTTGGAATGTGCATAATTATCACATGAAACATCAACAACACTCAGGCTATACTAAAATTGTGACGTCTTGGGTTATAAAAGGAGAACTTGATATCAATTATATGTGTAGATGTCTTTGAACTAGAAGGGTGGGTTCGTGACAGAAAGTATCAAATCGATCAATCCATGTAATGTCTCACTTGCAAATTGTGAAAAAGAGAAGTATGCAAATCCAACAATATCTACACAGTAAGGTGTGTAAATATTTTTGAGCGCTATATTATGGCCACCCATTGTGGTAATCTCTATCTAACACATACACTTGCAAAAAGTATATATATATATATATATATACACACACACAAACGCACACCACATATATGTTACCTGGTTATCTAGATCAAATGAACTGAAACGATCACCCCATAAACTAGGGTCGAAGTTTGCCAAAGGGCGAGGAGTTACGGACAGCAGGCAGTTCATCGGATTACCATGAACTGCGGTGGAGGCCATTTTTAAGATGTATAGATTGTATCTAACTTTTCTTGATACCAAGAGTTAAAAGAAAGGCTAGCTATGTAATGCACACTTCTATCCACAGGCATATTTATAGAGAAAAATGGAGTGAATTTAGTTCGTCTGCATTTTAGATTTATCAATATGCATGTTTCACATGTGTTATAAGAACATCACATGTACCTTTTACGTAGTTGATAATGAATAGGACCTTAATTCTTTATGTTTGTTTTGATTGGGTCAGCTAACATATGCATCTTTAACATGTTTAATTGTGGGGAAAAAAAAAAAAAAAATTTAATTTAAAGTTTTTATGGTGTACCTAGTACTATTTCTTGCTGTCTAGTACCGTGTCTCACTGCTCCAATACCAAAGTTTTTTTTTTGTTTTTTTTTTAGTTAAACCAATTTCAAAGTTATACTACTAAATATATTCACATTATTTAACATTTTGGGCTTTCTATAGACCTTCTATCAACATCATAGTTTTTTTTTAGTACTAAGGGGTGTAAAATTATTAATTTTTTTTAAGAGAGAAAAAAAAAAAAAAAAAAAAAAATGGTCTGCAGCTGAAATGTCATGCACAAATGACATGGGGGAGTGTAGTTTTTTTTTTGGGTAAGTAAATGTGGAGGAACAGAGTTGCTAAGCAATAATCTATGAAGTACGGATATTTTTATGAAGGAGCCATACTGGTATCGTGTTCATGTCGGACACCGATACTCGTCGGACACGTACCCGACACTCACTTTTGGACACTTCGTCTAAACTTCTTGAACATTTAGTCTGACATTTTCAAACATTTCTAACATAAGCTTATCCAATAATCCTGAAAATAATATGAACACATTCTAAAGTGTTCAACTTTCTTCTTTTTAAAAAATAATAATAATAATAATATACATATATAATCAAAAACGAAACACTAAATGATATTTGTTAATTTAGAATAAAAATACTATTATGATAAAGTAGTGAAATAATTGTACATGTACATATGACATAAGAGTCATTTGCAACTCTTATTATAAAATTTAGAAATAAATTAAAGTTTTATACTATTATTCTTTAATACATGTATATAAATAAAAATTTATATTTATATATAGTCATGTTCAAGCCGTACTTATGTTCTATTTTTTAAAAATTTCACATGTTGATGTATTCATGTATTCGTATTCATGCTGCACAGGTGATATCTCACCTTTTTTTTTTTAAACAGAATACTATCTTACTTACACGGTAGGAAGAAATATAATCACAAACTCAATTATGTGGATATGATTTAAAACACATATGCCTAATCGCAAGTCACAAACTTTTGTTTATTTATTTTTATTTATTTTCTTTTTCAGGCGTCTAACATTCACAGATTAGTACTTAGCAACTCACAGATTAGTACTTAGCAACTCCTTTCTTCCACACGATGAAAAAAAGTCACTGAATAATATCTCACATTTTTTCTCCTCCGACATTGAGTACCATCTCAAAAAAGAAAGCTGAAATGTCAGAAATAACATGGTGGAAAGGAGTTACTGTACTATCTCACTAATGGTCCGAAACTATTTTCTGGTCGCTACATCCTAAAACATGTATGCCTAATGGCCAGCCACAAATTTTTATTTTTATTCATTTATTTATTTTCTTTTTGAGGTTGCTTGAGTTTTTGTGGCACTATCTGTTGCTTTTTTAATAGGTCGACATTAAAAAAAATTTTAAAAAATTAAATTTTGAAAAGGACATGACATACGGCGTACAATGACAAAAAGATAATTCACTTAGACATAACCCATTCTTTTAAGAGAAAAGTTATTGCCCTTTCAATTAGTTATTCTAGATGCAACCGGTGTGCAAACTCTATGTGCCACTTGTTTATTTTGTTATAAATTGAGCTATAATTTTATTTTATTATTTTTTATTATTATTATTTTTTTGTTTGGTAAAAGTAACGCTCCATCCTAAACCCATCCCTTAGTAACTTAAGGGAAAAAAAATAAAAATAAAAATAAAAAAATAAATTATGTGACAGAGAAAAAGTTGTTGCCCTTTTAATTGTTCTAGATATAGACCTTTGTGCAAACTCTATGTGTCACTTGGTTAATTTTATGACAAATTGAGCTATAATTTGTTGTTTTCATTTTAAAATAATTGTGAGTCAAAACATTCAACTTTTAAGATAATATGAAAAAAAAGGTAAAGTACAGCAACATCCCTTGAAGTTTACCAAAAAGACATATAGATATATCTTACCCTACTTTGGGACAAAGATACCCCCTCAAGTTTGATAAAGGTACCAAAAACACCCTAATAATAATAAATTGATATTTTAGCCCTTTGACTTCTATATTGACCGATTTGAATGTTAAAATGACCTTTCTAACCTCTATGTGCAGATCATACCCCATTCTTTTTTTCTCTCCTCTTTTCGTTTTCTCTTCCTTCTCTTGCCGCACCAATACACACACACATATATGTATATACAGATACATACATATATATATCCCCACACGCACACAAGGCAGCGACGGGCGGTGGCGACGACGGTGAGCTATTATCAAGGAGAGTCACACCGGTGAATTAGATGATGATGATGATGTCGATGGGCTGCGGCGATTGTATCACGTGCAAGTTTTAGAAGGAATGGACCGAGATTAGGGTTATCAAGAGATGACTTATTGATAACTGGCTTCTTTGGGCGACGTCTTATTGACAAAGCTCCGATCCGGCGACGACTTGGCAGTGAATCGACGATAAAAACGAGGTACGTAGGTCACCTTGGGACCGGGTTGTGGTCTTGGGGTTTAATGCTTCATATTGGGTGAAATTGGGTCAAAAATGGTTGTGGGTGTTGTCATCGGGAACAGCACAAAGCCCAAGGACTCGATGGACCTGCTCTAACTAGGTTTACGACGGTGATGGTTATTTTGTTGTCGACAATTTTGGTGGTTGTTTTGTTGCTGGCGATGGGTGTTTTGGTGGTTGTTTTAGTGTCGGTGATGGGTGTTTTAGCGGTTGTTTTGTTGTTGGCGGTTGGTGTTTAGGCAGTTGTTTTTGCCTTGGACTCGTCGATAGCGACAGAGGACGCAAACTACAAAGTGGTCATCCTTATAGGATGTGCAGTGCACAGGGATGAAGTTGCGAGGGTAGATGATTTCTGAGTGTGTGTGTATATATATATATATATACCAACAAATATCAGTCGAAGGTGGCGATTTGGGTTGGAGAGAAAAATGATGTCTAGTGTTTTGGTCTCCACTGGTTTGGACTGAGAAATTTTATGATTAATTTGGGGAAGGTTCGGGTAGCGTATGAGTGGATTGGATTGCAAATGTATGTGTCCCTGTAATACATGTGTGTTAAAAATAATTAATGCCATGTTCATTCATGTATATGTTCATTCATGCATCTATTATTGTACATGTATCAAGAGTGTACATGTATCAAGTGTGTGCATGTATCATATGTGTGGTTGAGATTGTCTTGAAAAGTTCAAAGGTCTATGGGAGAATAGTATATATAGGGTAATGTATTTATTGTTAAGATATGAACACAACAAAGAATTCAATTCAATACAATATTTGTTTCTCTCCTCTCTTCACTTAGAAATTATTTAGTTGGTTGAAACTATAGCCAACATAAGTGGTATCAGAGCTTGATTTCGATCAAGAGCAAACTGGGCGTAAAGCTTATTGACGGGAAAACAAACCACGAAGAAGATCCATCGTGATGGCGACTACAGGCAATCAAAACCAAGGTGCCCATCATTCAGCACTTCCCATTTTTGATGGGGAAAATTATGATTTTTGGTATGTGAAGATGAAGACCATTTTTCTCTCATATGATTTATGGGATTATGTTGAAGATGAGTATGATGAACTGGAGGATACAACAACTTTGACGAATGCCCAAAGACAACAATTGAAAGATCATAAGAAGAAAGATGCAAAAGCTTTAGGCTTGATTCAACAAGGAGTTGCTGATACAATATTTCCTAGAATTATCAATGCTTCTAAAGCAAAGGAGGCATGGGATATTCTCGAGAAGGAGTATAGAGGCAGCACGAAGGTAAGAACTGTAAAACTCCAATCTTTGAGAAGAGATTTTGAAAATATGAAAATGAAAGAAATGGAGTTGTTGAAAGATTATTTTTCTAAACTTATGGAGGTGGTAAATCAAATGAAGACCTATGGGGAAGATATTTCTAATCAAAGAATTGTTGAAAAAATTCTGATTAGTTTGCCGGAAAAATATGACTCTATTGTTACTGTTATTGAAGAGACTAAAGAACTTGAAAACTTAAGTGTTGAAGAATTGATGGGTTCCATAAAAGCATTTGAGCAAATGTTGAGTAGGCGCTCCGAAAAGACAATTGAAAATGCTTTTCAATCCAAGCTCAATGTTAGTTCCAAAAATCAAGAAAAATACCCATCAAGTTTTGATCGATCCAAAGGTGAATCTTCTAGAGTTGGAAGACACGGAAGAGGAAAAGGAAGAAATTCAAGAGGAAGAAGAAGAAATAATTTTGAGAGAAGTGAAAATATAGAGTCCACTCAACAAAATTGTGGAATTTGCTAGAGAAGTAGCCATGTTGACAAAGATTGTTGGTTTCAGGGAAAACCTCAATGTTTCAATTGCAAGAAATTTGGACATGTTCAAAAAGATTGCCGGTTGAAAACAAATCAGCAAGCTAATTTTTCCGAAGAGCAAGAAGGTGAAACGAGCATGTTTTATGCTTGTCACTCGACATCGGAACAAAATGATGATGTGTGGTTTCTTGATAGTGGGTGTAGTAACCACATGACCGGAGATAAAAACATATTCTTGGAGATTGATTCTTCATCCAATTCTCAACTGAGGATGGGAAACGGTGCCTTGGTCCAAGCAAAGGGAAAAGGTACTATTGCCAGAGTTGGGGTAAAATGATAACATTGTTATATTGTTAGGGGTTTTTTAAACTAGTTGGGGTTTTATGATCATTTTTTATAGTTTTAGGGGTTT